AAAAAAAAAAAAAAAATTAGAAGCATTTAATATTCATGCTTAAATGTCATGTTTTTTTCTAAGGTATAGAACTTCTTTTTGCCAAAGGATAGCATTAGCCTGTTACTTTTTGTCTATGGCTCTTTCTGCATCCTTATGGATTCCCTAACTCCCTTTTTTCTTAAGCTTAAGCTTAAAATCTTCCCCTGAAGATGTTTGAGCCTTGTCCCCATAGTACCTAATTCCACTGGATCTCCTTACTGATTTACAAAATTTCCCCTCTACTCTTATTAGGAACAAAATGTTGTTAATGCTTCCATAAATACCATCATTGGAACTGATTGGGATCTTTAGGAGTCAGAGAGATTTATTTACTTCTAATTGCTTGAATTAGTGTCTCTGTTCAGTGCTTCAGGGAGCCTACTAATTTCAGTGTCATTTGCTTCTTTGGGGCATAGCAGCTGCTTTGTGGAAATAAAGGTTAATGGCCTCATTCAAATGCAATACATTGCGGGGCAATTTATGAATCTGATGTGTGGTTTTCCCTCACATCAGGAATAGATGCTCTTCTTTTTCCTGTATGGAAAGCATTGCTTTCTTTTATCGTTTTCTTCTTTCTCTCAGTTTCCCTCCTTCACTTCCTTTCCTCTCCTTCCCTCCCTATCTCTCTCTCTAATGCAGTCACGCTTCTCATGTGGCTTTTAACAGTTTGATTTCAGTGTGGGCTTTGCCATGTTTATTTTACTTGTTATTCACGTAGCATGTTGTATGTGCAAATTTCTCTTTCATCAAATTTGGGGCAATTTTTTTTTCTTTAATTGTTTCACTGCCTTATTCTCTTTCTTTTCTCCTTCTGGTATGTCCATTTACATGTATGCTGGATTGTTTGATGTCATATAGCGGGTCTCCGAGGCTCTGTTAAATTTTTTTAAATGACTTTTGTTTGTTGTTCACCTTGAATGATTTCTTAGATGATTACCTTCAAGTTCCCTTAGCTTTTCCTCTGTAATTTCTATTTGGCTGTTAAATCTACCCAGTGAAGTTTTTTATTTGTGAAATTTTGATTTTTAGAATTTCCATTTGGTTCTTTTCTCTCTTTCTGTCTCATGAGATTTTTGTTTCCCGAGATTTTATTTACTGAAAACATGTTTTGTTTTATTTTATTGAGGAGAGTAATACTAGTTACTTTAAAATCCTTATCTGTCAGTTTCAACATGTGATTCATCCCAGAGTCAGACTAAAAAATGGGATCCATTTTGACTTTCGCATGTCAGTAATTTTGAATCACCCTTTGATGAAGGATAGAATGTAGAGGTTCTGGATTCTATTATTTTTCTATGATGAATGTTACTTTCTTTGCAGGTAATTTTCTTGCATGGATTTGAACTGTAAACTCTGTCTCTTGGGAGCAGCTCTGGTCTCAGTTCAGACATTTTGTGTGTAACCGAACTGCTGTGATTCTGTTTCTGGTGGTTAAGGATCTGTCAGAGATGTGAGCAGAATTAGAGGATTCCCCCTCTCTGGCTCATTCCGTTCCAGGATTTTTCTAGTCTTTTCATCACTGTTTCCTGGCTTCGTTCTTCTGGTTCACCAGACAAAACAAAACAAAACAAAACTGAGACGTTTTCTGCATGTACCCCTGATGCTGCTGAGCCTGACTCCTGGAATGCACTTAGCTTCAAGCTGAATGCCAAGGAAAGGGGAACTTCCTTGTGTAGTTCCTCATCTGCCCTTCTCCAAGCAAACTTGCCCTTCCTACCAGAGTCAGCAAGCTTCTGTTCACATTTTAGTATATCCAGGTAGTTGCTTTTAGCATTATGTACAAGTTTTACAGATGTTTTCTGCTGGGCGATGGTCTAGTAGCGTCTTTGCCGCGTTTGAAAACAGAATTTTATCCCCTCCTGGGACTTTGAATCTTACAGAGTCACTTGTCACCTTAATTAATCCCACAGCCCCCTAACAGGTCCCTCTTTCTACTCTTGCGCCCTAAGATCTATTCTCAACACCCCAGTCACAGGGATCCTGTTCACACGTAACAGGAACTTCCAGTGTCTCCCCATTTCACTCACAGTAAAGCCATAAATGCTTAAAATGTCCTACTCTGCCTATCTGAAACTCCTCATCCTTGGCTTCCACGTCACATACTCACTGCGCTTTGCATCTTACTTTTCTGACGGCTCATTCAACAAGTCTATGCTTCAGGCTCTGCTCCCCTAATCCTGAAAGGTGGATCCAGCCTAAAAACATGGCCCTTGGGAGTCTGGTCTTTCTTCTTTCCACTTTCTTCTACAGAGATCTCATCGACTTTCACACTTTAAACTTACATGACAGGGCAATGAATGAGGCTTCTCCTTTTCTCAGGAGAAGGAGCCCTGGAGCCAATGCTGAAGGCAAAGAGGCCTGAAGTATTCCCCACTTTCTCAACGGGGCTGCAAATAGCTCTGCTGTAAGGAGAATTAAGAGCTTCTGGGCTAACGGTATTCTTGAACTTTCTTCCCCCAAGCATCTGCCCAGATTTGAGTGAGCGCAGAGGGAAACTATAGAGCGTATTTGATCAGGCGCTAGCTCCGTTGGCCGGAGGGAGGGGCTGATGGAACTTTCCTCCTCTGAGGATCTGCGCCCCTCCGACAGGAGGGAGCGCGCGCCGGGGAAGCGGAACCCAGCCGCGCGCGCCACTGCTTCCGGCCGGGCGCGGGGCGCGGTGCACCACCGGCTCGCCGCCCAGCCCGGAATGGAGGAGCGCGGCGGTGCCGAGCCCACGCCGGGCTGCAGCGGCCTGGGCCCAGGCGGCGTTCGCGGCGGCGGCGGCGCCCACTCATGGGCCCCGGAGGACGCCTGGATGGGCACCCACCCTAAGGTCAGAAGGCGCGAGAGGAGCAGGGCGCCGGTCCGGGCCCCTACCCCAGGTGGAAGGCCGCGCCGCCCCTTCGGCCCTCGACTGCCTTGGGGGCCCTGGCGCCGAGTTTGCGCGCGAACCTCGCGGAGGGGGACCCGTGTGCACACCGCCTGTTGCAGCCAGTTGTTGTTTTTGTTGGTTTCAGTGAGTTGAACTATTGCTCTGACACCCCACTCCGACACACGCACACACCCAGCCAGAGTTGAACTATTGCTCGGACACCCCACCCCCGACACACGCACACCCCAGCCATTCCAGGGCAAGACATTAAATCCAGCGCCTCTCAAGGCAGAGCCCAGTAATAACGTAGGGCTCCTCCTGAGAACGGTCTCATTTAATCCTTGCAGTAACCCAACAACCACAGCAAAAACAGTCTGCGAGCCTTGGATGCATAAGAAGATAAAAGTTTAGGCACAGCTACGTTTGCACTTAGCATTGAGCCCAGAGTGTGCCGTTGTTGATTTTGCTGAAGTACGAATTCCTAATTTTTCTGATATCTTTTAAAATTTGAATACTTCCCCAAAGCAAAACTGCTTAACAATAAGGGTGTATTTTTTGGTAAAGCAGCAAAGAAGATAGAGCACCTTGCTTGCTTCTGTTTGGCAAATTGCTGCCTTGGACCAGTAATGTCCCAAACAATGAACGGACAGTGAATGGAGATGGGGGTTTTGTAGGAATCTCAGAGAGGGGTCTAGTAACTTTAGTACCATTGCAGTCTTCTGCTGGGGAGCAGTATGTCATAGATAATTATCTAAAAACAGTCAAGGAAAGAAACATTTTTGAAGATAGAAGTTTGAAAAGAGTTCACCCCTTTTCATGTTCTCTTTCTTGATTTTATCCTCCTCCTCTGTCCCCTTATTCCTGGTCAAGGTGAGAAAAACAAACATGGAGATGTTACTCAGTGCCCTAAAAAGAGACAGATATCATATGTTTTC